ATTCGGGGCACCCAAGTGACCTTGGAAGGCACAGTCCAGAAAGTCCAGGGCTTAAAAACCAAAGCTGTGATTAACCCTGTCAGAGATGAAATGATTGATGTCAAACTCTTCCAAATTACACCCACGCTTGACCTGCTCTTCTCCTTCTGAAGGCACCTTATTACTGAGAAACCTTCATTCAGGGGACATATACTTAAACATTTAATAAATCTGTGGTCGCATAATTAAACCTTTGATGGAAGCGAAAGAGAATGGAGCAGAACCAAGGTAGATCACAGACAAAGGGAAGAGTAGGATGGGGAAGACACTTGGGCAGAATCAGGTCAGAACCGAGCTTTTCCGTTGTCCTTAGGGCTGTGATTTCACTTGGACTGGTGACAGCAACTTTATAAGGGACTGAAGACCAATTCAGTGGGCATTTAGAAGAGTTCAAGGGGAGCCAGCCATCCACAATGGTTGGCTGCTGCACAAAGGCAGCTGGATCCCGCATGGCTAATCAGGGTTCATGTCTGTGCCCCAGTAGCTTAAGGAACATGCCAGGTTCACGTACCTGTGCCAGAGTTCTGATTGGATATAGAATTGGAGAAGGGATTGCTGTGTGACCAGGTCCCATGGTGGGGGGTGAGGGACTGATCTCTCTCTCTCTCTCGTTCTTTCTTCCCCTCTTGGTACTACCTCCATGAAAAAAGTATATAAAAAAAGAAAGCCAGCAGGTGGTGTGGTGATTACACATGGCCGACTGTGATTCGAGTCCTGTACCCAGCACATTGAATATCATGCCAGGCACATGTGTGTGCGTGTCCCAAATCCCAGGAGGAGAATGGAGGAGAAGGGACTGTGGCATGGCCATCCTTCTTGGGGGGTGATTTTTCACTTTTCTCTCTCACTGTCTGTCTCCAGTGAGCACATGCACCCTATAGCAAAACCTTCAAGAAAACACAAACAAAAGCTTCCAGGGAACCAGCAGTTAGCGTAATGGCTATGTCACTGGATTCCCACGTAGTCAACTACAGTTCTTGTCCTAGACCCGGTGGCTTAGAACTAAAACCCCTCAAAAAAAAAAAAAAAAAAAAAAAAAAAAAAACTTCCAAGGAGCTAGAACAAGACATTTTCAATAATGTTGGCAATGGATGCTGAGCTTGACTTCATCTATCACCATATAGCAAGAATAATTTTTCTCAGTACATCAAAGGCCTAATAAATAAAATACCACTCCTGTAAAATTACTGGACTAGAAAAGACGGGGTGGGGGGAGCCAGTGGGGGAGGGACAGTATCACATAATGTAGTGAGGGGCAGCAAGACACACTGAGAAAACAGAGGGCAAGGGGTCCGGCGACCTGTTTCTGGTCTCTACTTAAGGGTTGTGTGACCTTGCACATGTCATTCTGCCTTTGAAGAGTCTCAGGCTCCCCATATACAGAAATCACAGGAATGTCAGTCACTTCCCAAGCATCACCTGGGAATCTTATTACAATTGTGAAGATGTTTATCTAGAAGAGAGGATGATATATAAAACTTAAATAAGGGCCAGAGAACTAAGAACTATGAGGAAGAAGAGGTGGCTAACCCGCCTGCCTGCGGGTTGTGTTATTCCCTATTGACGAAGTGACTGTCACTGACATGCTTTCTCAAAGTCCTTCCAGTTCGCAGTTTCCCTCAGGCTGGCTCTGCTGAATGGACTGCCCTCCCTGCCCATAAGTTGCTTCAGACTGCTGCTTCTAGTAGATTTTCACCCAATCCTGTCTCTTCCTCCTTCTCCCTAAGATCCTCCTCCACTGTCTTGGTTCAATATAAGCTCATCCAGAACAACTTACATGTATTGTAAGCCTTTTATTATTATAGAAAACCCTCACGTTTTCAGGGTCAGTGGACATGTGAGTTCCCTCTGGCCGTGTTGCTGGTGGGGCTGACTACATGCCCCAGAGTCTGACCCTTATTTGATGATAGCTTTGTGAGACCAATAAATTCCTCTCTTCCTCATAACATTTACTTTACAGTTGTCCTTTTTGGCTTGAACAGTACGGATTCTGATTTAGCAGATCTGGATAAGTCTGAAGGGTCTAAATTCCCAACAAGTTCAGGTGACCCACAGACCACTCTGCAGGCAAAGACTTAGATGGTCTCTACATTTCCTTCAAGCTCTAAAATTAGGTTCCCTAATCAGGAGCTCTGCCTTCTCATGTAAACCCCATTGACTTTCTCTGCTTTCTGGCTTAGACTGGGCTCTGTCTTCAGAGACTCAGTCTGCCTTGCTTCCCAACTTCATAGTGCCACACTTCCTGTGATCACTTGGGATTCTCCTTCTTAACCACAGGAAGAAGAATGGAAGGAAGTTGAACAACCTGACCGTTTCTGCCGTCTAAGCTTACTTCATAGTGCCACACTTCCTGTGATCACTTGGGATTCTCCTTCTTAACCACAGGAAGAAGAATGGAAGTTGAACAACCTGACCGTTTCTGCCCTCTAAGCTTGAGAAAAGCACAGAGGCCCTCTTCAATTGAAGAGGTTTACTGTTCATCATTTGGAAAACAGGCAAGGGGATGTTACCAAAGCTTCAGAAAACTTGTTAATATCCTGGAGATTTCCTTCCAGGGTTTCTCTCCTATACATATACACCGATCCATGTTTTATTGAAATGGGAATTATAGCAAATATATGTTTGTACTTGCTACACAATTATAGTTCGTTTTCCCATTTCATGAAATATTCTTTGCAAATGTGATTCTAATGATTCCGCGAGTCTCCATAAAGGTGCTCATTACTAACATAGCAATGGTCAGACATCTCAGATTTGCAGTGTTATGCCATGGTAGGACACATGTCCTTACTGCTTTTATAGCTGCCATTTGTCAAGCGCTTACTCTGTGCCAAACACCATGCTAAATGCTTCACGTACATCATCTCTTTTAAGCCTCGCAGTCACCTTTCCGCTAAGCATGACTGTGATGTCCACCTTCTTGAAAAGGCAACTTAAACCCAGAGAAGTCAGAGGATTTCCTCAGGGTCACACAACTAGTCAGTGGCAGATCACACAACTAGTCAGTGGCAATCTGGCTCCAAAGACAAGCTCATAACCACTGCCTGATAATATGGCCCTGAACATAAATTCCTGGGCCCTAATGATTTCGTTAGGGTTTTTTATTTTCCTTTTTTTTTTTTTTTTTTTTTTTGGGGGGGGGAGTGTGTGTGAGAGAGAGAGAGAGAGAGAGATTTTCAAATTTCATTTCAAAAGTATTACAGGTTCAGTGAAATAATTCAAGCAATGCAGGGGTAATTTTTTTTTTTTAGAGGTTTTTGCTATAGGGTGCATGCACTCACCAGACAGAGAGAGACAGAGAGATAGAAAGTGAGAAATCACCCACCAGGGGGGATGGCCACGTCGTAATCCCTTCTCCTCCATTCTCCTCTTAGGATCTTGAGCACGCACGCACACGCGCCCGGCATGAGTTTAAGCCACCAGGTCCGGGACTCGAACTGCAGTCGACTACGTGGGAGTTCAGCGACATAGCCATTACGCTAACGGCTGGTCCCAATTTATTTATTTATTTGAGAGGTTTTTGCTATAGGGCACGTGTGCTCACCAGAAAGACAGAGAGATACAGAAAGCAAGAAATCACCCCCCAGGGGGAATGATGACCATGCCACATTCCCTTCTCCATTCTGCTCTTGGGATCTTAAGCACGCACGCACACGTGCCTGACGTAAGTTTAAGCCACCAGGTCTGGGACTTGAACTGCAGTCGACTACATGGGAGTCTAGTGACATAGCCATTATGCCAACTGCTGGTCTCAGGGTAAGTTTTTTTTAAAGAATCATTTAACTTTCTTTATATATACATACATACAAACATACATATACATACCTACCAGAGAGGGACAGAGTGAGACAGTGATGAAAAGCAAGAAAGCAAGCCGCTGGGTCCAGGACTTGAACCATGGTCAACCATGTGGGATTTCAGCGCCCTTTAACTACCATGCCACCTACAAGCCCCTGCATTGATAATTTTAAAAAATGAGTATTCTACCTTTCCTCCCCTCCATGATTTCTTGAGGTATATTTCCTCTTTATGCATTTTCTATACTTAAATAGCACACAGGAAGTCAAGAATCATGTGTTTTTCATTATTATATCTGGTGCCTGACGCAGAGCTGCTGGAGTCCTAATAAAAACTTGTTAATAAAAATAAAAATAAAAATAAATGCAAGGGTCAGTTTGCTGTAGTAAAATGCAGCACTCTGTGAGGTGGTCTCACATGAGAAGTTTCCCAGTTCAGGTCCAGACATCCCTGAGTACCCTGGGCATGCACCTGTCCATGACCTGGGGCTAGCTGAAGTGATTGTAGCATCAAGACCCTATTGGGGATGGAGTCTCTCTTCCTCTTGCTTTTTCTCAGCCACTCTTGTTTTTGGAAGAAATAAATAAAATTGTTAAAAAATAAATGAATGAAAAATACTTTTAAAAAAATAAAAATGGAGTCTTAAAATACATGTTTCTCTGAAATTATTTTCATTTAATATATCTCAAACAAATTTCCAGGGTAAAACATAAAGATCTCATTCTTTTTAAATAACTGTGTAATATCCCATAATATAAATGCACCATAATTTATGACGTCATTTGCCATAAATAGACATGCATGTTTATACGTTTTGGGAGTTACTAAGGGTACTGCATAAAATATCCTCAGGTACCTTTACGTGTTGATATACTTCTTTCGGGTAGTCCTTATAGTTGAGATTACATATTCAAATGGGATATATATTTTTAATTTTGTTATAGAGTGCCAGCTCCTTCTGAAATGCTGGGCCGATTCACATCAAAGCAGCACTGTGTAAAAGGGCCCATCTCCCCACACCCTGAGTGTCTTGTCAACCTGTGACATTTTTACTGACAGGTGGGTGGTGGAAACTTGGTGTTTTGATTCACATTTTCTTTAATACTAGTGAGGTGGAGTGACTTTTAAATTTTCTTTTGTTTTCTTCTTTCTATGAATTGCAGGAAATGCTGTAAGTCAAAATTGCTGGATTAAAGGATATGAGCATTTTAAAGGTGCTTGACACTTGGCCAAATTGCCTTCCAAAACGTGATGAAACAACTTACCCTCCCACAAGCAGCTCATGAAACCACCGCCTGTTTCACCAAACTAGGTATTGTAACTCTAAAAAGAAAATAATGACTTTTGCCCATTTGAGAGCCTCTGTTGATTTCCTTGGGCATTTCTCACCTTCCTGTCGAAAGGCCAAGAGGGAGCTCCTGGTGAGGTGCCCTGTCCTGCAGAAAGTGGGGGTATAAGGAGGGGCCTCGGGCACCAAGGCCCTGGAAGGGGAGCCAGGAGCTGTAGTGGGAGGAGGGGGAAGGCCTTTCCAGGAGCATGGTGAATCAGAATAGGCACTAGCCTGTGTCCAGGAGAATTGAGCGCTGGTCCAGGGCGCAAGGGCAAGTTTATACTGGTGTTCACTGTGGGACGTTGCCAGGGTGCTGTGGGGACGTGGGGCAGGAGGAGAGGATGCTGCTCTACTTAATGAACTCGGTTTCACCTGTCACATTCCAGGACGAGTTGACCATAAATGGGTACAATGTGAACAGTCGAACAAATTTAGTTGAAATAAATAGTGTACTGTTCAGCAGTGGCTAGATCCAAAGCCTCAGCCTAGGGAACCAGTCCCCACACTATTAGTGGTACCATCGGAGTACAGAGAGAGGCTGCTCAGGGAATACTAAAGCAGAGTTGGGTGTGAGCTGTTGTGAGGCACAAGGAGCTGTGGTGAATTGAAATGGAGGCTACACCCAGAGAGTAGAACCAAGAAAGGCTTTCTAGATGCTTCAGGAGATCTGAGGGTACCTTGGTCCTAAAGAAAGACAGTAAGTCGGAAGCTCTCACCAAGCCACATGGCCCTCCCAGATCCTTGGGGAGCCCTCATAGGTTCATGCACTGTCTTTGTAGAGTCCTTGATCTATATAGGCTGATCAGAGCAAAATAGGGTATTAAATCCCCCTTCTCCTCCACACTGAAGCTAAGAGGCATCATTCAGATTGAGGGCATTTGGATACCCCCAGCGAGGTCAAGTGAGATTCAGGATGGATGTTCCTAATAAAGCTAATTGATGGCCTCCCTGCGTTTAGATGTGTCTGAGGCTTTGCTTTTTCTTTCTTTTTTTTTGAAAGGCTTTGGCTATAGGGTACATGCACTCGCCAGAAAGACAGAGAGAGACAGAGAGACAGAAAATGAGAAATCACCCATCAGGGGGAATGGCCATGCCGCAATCCCTTCTCCTCCATTCTCCTCTCGGGATCTTGGGCATGCACGCACACGCGCCCGGCATGAGTTTAAGCCACTGGATCCGGAACTTGAACCACGGTCCGCTACATGGGAATCTAGCAACATAGCCATTGCATGCTAACTGCTAGTCCTGAGACTTTGCTTTTTGATGAAGAAAGAGGAGGAGGTTTTATGCAGGAGAGGATGAGTGAAATAGAAAAGCAGAAAGAATGGGTTGTTTGGTGATGACATGGTTCCTTTGCTCTTTGACCCTCTGGGGTTCTGAGGGATTGGTTCAGAGCCCCACAGGAGGTAGGCATTTCAGACCAGAGAAGGAAGAGTTGCCTATCCTGAAAGGTTATAAGTGTCTGGTCTCAGGCTGCGGTGTGTGCTGAGAGCTGAGCTGAGCCTGCTCTCCTTCCTGTCCAGAAGTCTCTCCCCTGAGAGCAGCTGGGCCACTCTGACAGCCCAGGGCAAAAGGCAGCAACGGAGGCTATTTCTGATAGGCTATTTCTGACAGGCATCAGTGAAAACAACTGGATGGGATTGTGAGAACTGGAGGAGGTCCTGCCTGGGGCCGTGGAGGCTGAAGCATTGGTGTCACACTCAGTTTTACCTACACCTAGCCCTGGCCTGGGAACAACTGAGTTGTACAGGAATGGTGTGTGATACCCTGCCTAGTGGACCAGAGCTCACTGACTTTGGAGAAAATGGACTGAAAACTTCTTCCTAGATTAAGACATCCCATCACTTCACTTTTTGAAAGTTTGTATATTTATTCCTTCTATGAGAGAGAGAACCTCTTACTCTCACACCCAGTCTTAGCCAACCTGGATTGTAGGCACATGTGTGCTGGCCCAGCATGATCAGGGAGGTCCCAGGATGTGAACCCAGAACTTTTCCCATGTGAGTCCAATTTCATTACACTGTGCCATCATCACCTGACCCCAACATCTGATCACTTTAGATGAAACCATCTAGACTGAGTTCAAAAAGCATTTTAGAATCCCATGTCCTAACTTCACACACTAGGTCCTGTGGAAATCCTAAAATTAGGAGCTGGCTTTTAGGAACGAATGTCCAGAGGCTTTAATTGAATTATATTTTCATCACAAAGTATTTGTTATCAGTTATATATTAGACCCTTAGTCCTATAGATGTTTAACACTTTTTGTTTGATTTGGTGTGTCAGTCTGATACATATGTTTCTGTTCTCCTACTTTGAGGTCTCCTGATTCTCCCACAGAGGCTTATAGAAAATAGGCAAGAGGGAGGAATCAGAGATGAACTCCCTTTGGACTTCAGACCTCATTTTCATACACGTTCCCAACTGTGCTTGCTTCTCTCTTT